CGCTCGAGCGAAGAACCAAAAACCTGGACAGCAACACTTGGTTTCTAAACCCAACCAACCTGAAACAAACCTGCCCAACACATCCTATAATTCCAAAAGAGAAAATAAGGAACAACAACAACAACAATTATACAATGACAGAATCTGCGGAACAGTCCGGATACAATAATTAAATGGGAAAAGACCGGGGTCGCTATAGTTATTTTAATCACACTTAATTTGATTGCGTGTGATAATATTTATTTTTTATGTCACTTTTTAATTAAGTGTAATTATATATATATATTTTTTAATCATACTTTTTAAACAAGTGTGATTGTATATATATTTTTTAGTCACACATTTTAATTAAAGTGTGGTTATTTATATATTTTTTAATCACACATTCAAATTAAAGTGTGGTTATATATACACTACTACTTTTTAATCACACTTTTTAAATAAGTGTGATTATATATATATTTTTTAATCACACATTCTAATCAAAGTGTGATTATATCACTACTACAAAAACAGTTAAAGATCACACTTTGACAAATAAAAATATCTCACTTTCATTGAAAGTGTGATAAAAAAAAATTAGATGGATATTTTAATCATACTTAATTTGATTGAGTATAATAATATTTATTTTTTATGTCATTATTAAATTAAATGTGATTATATGTATATTTTTTATTCACACCTTTTAAATAATGTGATTGTATGTAGTTTTGAATATATTGTTTTTACATAATAATATATTCCAAACTGGTGCCTTTTTCTTTTCCATTACTCTCAACAGGCAAAACAAGATTGAATTTGTAAGGACAAATCGTTTTGAGACTTTTTCCAAATAAAACCCTAGCACCACATTGTATGCTCAATTTTAAGATCTCTTCAGCCTCTTCCAATCTCCCTCACAGTGGACTCGCCAACCCTTCTCCCTTACAAAGGTATGGCCCCCCTCTCTCTCTCTCTCTCTCTCTCTCTCTCTCTGTTGTTTAATGGTGGGGTAAGGGTTTTCGGTAACGTGGTGGCGCTATGGTGGGGATGGAATGGTGTAACGGGAGGTGCGGTGTGAGAGGAGGGCTAGTGGTGCTATAGTAGGGAGGGAAAGGGGCGGCATTTCAGATTTGTGGTGAAGAAAAAGAGTAGTTTTGTGGTTGTGGATAAGAGGGAAAAAGGTAATGGATCTATGGTAGTAGAGGGTTGGAGGGGCTATGGCAAGGGGCGGAAGAGGAAGTGTAACTAGGTGGGATAGGGGTTCCTAAGGGGAATGAAGAGGTTGGGGAGCTATAAGAGGGTTGGGCGAGGGAGACGGTATAAAAGCCCTTCTTGTGTTTGATAAAATAAATGTATGAAACATTGCCATATTGTTGGGTATTTTTCTCTTCTCTTCTCTTTTTTTCTTCTCTTCTTATTCTTGATAGAAACACTGTTGTGCTTTTGATTATTGGACTGAGTTGCTTATGGTCATTGAGATTTTCCGAGTCAAAGTTGCCACAAGATGAAGGTAAAAAGATTTCCACATTTTATATTGATAGTTATTTTTGTTTGGGTGCCAAGAAAATGAAGGAATAATCAATCAAACTATAGAAATTTTAAGTATCGGTGTTTCATTATATGGGTTCAGTTAAAATGAGTCTGTCTTCAGTATTTTGGGTTAGTTTAGTTTGATTTTGGGGGAAAATCAAATAAATAGCAAACAAAAGATTTAGAAAATTTATATTCTTGTGTTTGATTTTCTTGAATCAAATAGAGGACTTCTAGGTTGAGTTAATTTCGTTTTGGTGATTCCGTTGTTTTTTTTATTTTCCTCATAAATGGTTGACATCATAGCTGCTGCACCAACTCAAACATTCCTTCAGATTTCTTTTTTTTCCATTGAGAAAACTCAAGAAAACCAGGGATGGGAAGAATAATATTTCTAAAAGATAGATGTTAAATCTCACCAGTGGGAGGCAAAATATTCTTCAACAAAATGAAGATAGCCTCTTCAGGACTGAGCTTAATCCTCTTCCGCACCACATACACAGACTCACCGACAGTCAGATTAGCAGGAACCAAGTATCTACTAATTATTTTTTGGTTTCTTCTATAATGAATTGTTTTATGAGCGTGGGATTTCATGTTTTATGCAATATGTTTTGTTTTTCTTTTCAATATGGTATTTTGTAAATTTGAACATGGGTGGCGCAATTGTCTGCTAGTTTTTTTATTCAAATACAATTATTATTTATATAAGAATTAATGGGCTTATTTGAGGTGATTGTTTTCATATTAATGTCTGTGTTGATTGAAGTTTTAATCCTTCTAGTCTCCAATTGTCTGCTAGTTTGTGATTCAGGTACAATTATTATTTGAGTGCTCTTTATTCTGAATTTTTTACGGTAGAGGGTACTGACACTGAGTACATTTTCCTGTTAAGAATATTTGGTTTTTATCCTCAATTATCAATTATTCTGAATTTTTTACGGTAGAGGGTACTGACACTGAGTACATTTTCCTGTTAAGAATATTTGGTTTTTTTCATCAATTATCATTTTTTTGAAGTCTCACTTTCTAGTCTACGATATATGTAATTTACAGATATTGCACTTGTGAAAGAGTATTGGCTAATTGAGTGGGTCCAATTGAGTTTTAGTGTCAGAGTCAGCTCAAAATACTTTTTTTTTCTCCCCCCGTTAATGGTTCTTTGTCATAATTTTACTTCTTACTCTTTGATTTATTAGTTTTTGCTTGGTTTGTTCATCTTGACTATCAAAGTAATCATTGTCAAGTAAATGTGCATGGAAGCAGATCAATGGAGTTGTAGTATTAGTTTGAGCTGAAAGTTCATCAGTTCTTTGTCACTTATCTAGGTTGTGATCTTTACTCATTAGTCTTTTGAATGGGTTTGTTTCAATATTTAAATTTGGTTGTTTACTGAGTATCTTTGCATGCTGGTGCTCTAATTGATTAGTTATGTATGGTCCACTTCATTTTATTTAGTTTATCTTCTAGTCTCTGCATTTTTAAAGTCTACATTTAAACACTTTGTCTAGATTCTTCATTCATATGGTTAGAGCGACAGGTGTGCATAAAGATGCATATAGAATGCCCATTTTGGTTATTTCTGTTGGTTTTAGATGGAAATTTATCATTCTATATGTCCTTTTGGCTTGTGATCTTCAATATGTTTCTAGTCTAACAATGAGCTAGTTATTATTTTTTTGGGTGTGCTCGTGTAGTTTTAACTCTCAGAGTTGAGTGATAGAGTATTTGTGCCTAGTCAACACGTTTAAGCTTAAAGTAGTAATATTTCTTCATCTTTCTCTTTGATCTTTATTATTCTATTGGAGGTTGGATAGCTTGTTTTGATTTTTCAAATTTTAGAGCATTTTTTAATTTCATTTAAAGGTGATCCCATTCTTTAGAAATTCCAAATTGAGTTGAAAAGAAAAGAATATACACTCTTTTCTCAATTAAGATTTTTATATTGGGGCCTAGTCTTGAAAACAAATTTTAAAAAAAAAATTGATTTCATCACATTGATATGTGGAGCCCATGGTGAGGGTATGGAATAATCAGAATGTAAGTGGTCTATTAGTTACTGTGAGAATAATATTAAGCTGCAAGTGGTCTATCAGATGTGCTTTGTAGAAGACTATAGAATTTGATTTAAGCATTGGTTTTTCTGTGCTGCAAAAATGATGAATGTGTATTTTCTATATCCAAATTTCTATCATCTCTTATGTAATTTGCTTAACAATAGATTCGGACCTTATAGCGTTCGATAAATTACAAAATTGAATAGATTATATAGCTGTTCAATCTAATCCTTTATTGTTTATATAGCTGTTATGTTTAGTGAGTTAATCTTTTTTTTCTTTTTTCTATTTGATGAGATGCTCATGATCGAACAGATTAGTGTTTTTGATCTTTTCATTTGCATTGTTCTATGGCACTTGAAGGCCATTGTTCATCTATGAATGTTTTTCTTGGAAACCTGCAACAAGAATGGTTCGTGACAACATTTGATTTTCTATATTGGAGGCCATTGTTCATATCTTTAATTGTGCCACCAAAATTCTCAATACATATCTTTCAATACTCTTTATATCATTGCACTTCGACCAATACTAATTTGTCTCCTACTATTTAAAACATGATAATTTTTTTTTAATCATCTTTTAGTTTTCAGATCTTCAATTGTCATTTAGTGATGTACATTATGCTTAATTGGGCATTACTATTGTTGTTGTAATATATATTTGTGATTGCAGATTAGAAGAAGCAGAAAAGGCAATGTATCACTACAAACAAGCTGGTGCTAAATCAGACCCTGATGTCTTGACTAAAGCTAAAAACCTTCAGGTTCATCTGAGTAAGTGTACTGAGGCCAAGTAAATTACAAATAGTGTGTATATATATGTATGTATATATGTGCTATTTGTAATCAACTTTTTGGAAGTTAAGTGGAAGATAATGGACTAGCATTGCAATTTAGGGAAGATAAGAAAACTGTTGAAGCATTTCATTAACATGTTGTGTGCATGAGACTTGTTTGGACAAATTAAGGGGGGCTAGCAAAAACATGCCTTTGGACTTTGCAATTAGTTTTAGATAACACACAAAGTGATAAAAAAAAATAAAAAATAAAAAACTAAATACACGAGTTATAAATGTTTCATAACACAATATCGATGCACATGCTCTTTCATGCACGTTTTGAGTTTTGGTTTTGCTAATGCTGTCATTCTTGGTGTGATGTTTCTTAACATCGTATGTTTCTCTCTTGTTTTTTAGTTTTTCATTTGTTGAATTGTGTTTTGTTGGTATAACAAAACAACTTTCCAACACCTTTGATTATAAAAAATAAAATAAAATTTAATGAGTGGGAAGTCGTGTATTGCTCAACATTTCTAATACCACAACCAATAATTTGTCTCTTGCTACCACTAATCACAAACCTTGATTCTTCATCACACAGTTAATTTTCTAACCACTTCACTATGCAACTTTCTATGCATATAATTTTTTCTAGTGTAAACATGAAAACAGTTGACATTTTCAAGTATATTTAACATAAAAAGCTTATATTATTAATTTAAACTTGTTTTTAACTTTGAATTGTTAAGCCAAGATATGGTTTTTTAAATATATATAGGCAATGACATATGTTGACAGATTTGATGATGCGGTGGCAGCGGCTCAAAGAGCAGTACGGCTGGACTCAAGCAGCAAGGAAGTGAACATGGTGGTTAGGAGGACACGGGCGGTGGCAATGGCTCGATCTAACGGTAAAGTGAACATGGTGGTTAGGAGGACACGGGCGGTGGCAATGGCTCGATCTAACGGTAACGATTTGTTCAGGGGATAAAGATACTCAGAGGTTTGTGTTACATGTGGAGAGGGACTCGACCATGACCCCTACAACTCAGTGTTGTTGTGCAACAGAGCCACTTACAGGTCCAAACTTGGTCAATTTGAGAAAGCAATCAAGGACTGGACTGCTGCCCTTAATGTGCGCCCACCTTACAGGAAAGCCAGATTAAGAAGAGTCAATTGATATGCCAAGGTAACTAACTAACTACTAGTAGCCTATCTTATATGTCTATTTGTTACAACATTTTTTTGAGTTTTTTTGATATTTATGAGTAGAATTTAAAAGGAATTGAATGCTCTTCGCACTACTAGAAATATGATGGTTTAAGTGCTTCATGTTTTACATGTTAATGCATCCTTTTTCTATGCTTGAAAATAGGTTATGGCAAGCAAGACAAAGATCTACATTGTGCTCGAGTATGTTGGCGAGGGCGAGTTTTTTGACAAAATAATAAGGCATTGTTTTTTGAGGTTCTACTCTCTGAGCACCTATAATTTCATTCATAATATAATCAATTGTGTAATGCATTATATCTTAATTTAGGCATTTGCTCATGTCATGCTTACCATTTTGTTGTGGTAATGTGTGTTCTATTGAGGCTCATTTATGTAAATCATGTGGGTACCGAGTCTTGTATTTGTCTGATAATATTCCCTTATTGACCCTTTTATAACTAGGCCAAACTAGGAAGACTTAAATAGGATGAAACTAGGAGATATTTTCAGCAGCTCATCAATGCTGTAGACTACTGCCACAGTAGAGGCATGTACCATAGAGACTTAAAGGTTTAACAAACTTTCTTACATGTTTCATTGATTATTTAATGTATTTATTCTAATTTTTTCCTATAAAAAAGAATTTATTATCTAACAGTAATTTGGTTTCTTTGGCTATCTATTCGACCATGACTCTAAAATTTGCATTACCCTGCATCTTTTGTAGCCCGAGAATCTGCTTCTAGACTCATTTGGTGTTCTCAAGGTTTCAGACTTTGGATTGAGTGCATTTTCCCAGCAAGTGCGGGTAAGTATTATATGAGTTTGCAACAATTTCCTCATCTAAGAGCAGATTTTTAGCAGGTAGGTGTTAACAAATTGAACGTTAAATTTTTAAAAGTGGTTGTGGCAGTGAGTCAATTTTGCAGTCTATTTGGTTTACTAAAATCACCTAGTCCAGAAAATACCTTTCCAGCTAGGAGCAGTGCCCTGCTCTGAAAGGAATTCCTCAGGAATAATGTGCCATTAGTTTTTCTTCTGTCCTTCAGTGGCTTGTTCATTTCTTGTTTATATTAATTTGGAAATGAACTTTTTCTTATGATTTGCGTCTTTCCTTTCCCTCCTTTTATATTAGTTTCCCCAAATCAAGGAGGCAGTTTAGTTTTATTAGTTGACTTCTTCATAAGATTCTGTATCATGCATCATCTAGATTTCGGCACTTTGAAAACATTCAGTGACCATTTTTTAAGACTTGATCTAATCCACATTGAGGTTATATGATCTCAATGTCGTTCAGACATATAAGTTATGGATTGCCTTAAACCTAACCCTCATTCATCAATATAAAGTTAGTGTTGTGGCTTTGCTTAATCAAAGACTGACTACCTTTTTTACTATAGGAAGACATGCTGCTTCACACTACCTGTGGAACCCCAAATTATGTTGCTCCTGAGGTATCAATTATGATGTCATGGAAATGGATGGTCGCTTTGATGCAAAAAAATTTTCCTTTCCTTATTAGTTTCTTGCATTTGTGATACTTTTTTCTTTCTTTTTTTTCCCTCTTTCTATCAAGTGCTCACTGATAAAGGTTATGATGGTACAACAGCTGATATATGGTCTTGTGGGGTCATTCTGTTTGTTCTTATGGCTGGATACTTACCTTTTGACGAGCCGAACCACATGGCTTTGAAAGAATTCAAGAACTTAGTTTTTTTTAAGTTTTTATAAATTTTTTTTTTTGGATAAGTAAGTCATATTATAACCAAAAAAGAAAAATATACAATGAAGTTCAACACACAGCTTTTGATGGGAGCACAAAAATAAACAAAATAAACTGCTCCATCAAAAAACAAACTGAGCTTATAGAAAACAAGCACAACATTCCCAACAAAACAAGGATTCAGAATTTCCTTCTAGCATTCTTCAAGTCATGAAGTTTTGCTTTAAGTTTTCTTCTGTTATCCTCTTTTGAAGTCTCCCCATAACTAGGATCACTTGGAGATGGACTCCCTCTATTTCTCAACTCTTGACTTGAATCTCCATTTCCTAACTCATCCATATCACACGATTCAAGGACATCAAAGGCATTAGATGTTGAGGGGATAGAAGACTGCGTCTCTCTCTCTCTCTTTGTTGATCAATGGCGTTGAACCTTGCCCACCATCTCTCCCTTTTTTCTTCACCACTTCCCATTTAGTCGGAATTTGTGTTTTAGTGTCCTTGACTCTCCACTCATGTTTGAAGGAGGGAGGGTTCAAAGACTTTGGCTTTTGAGGGCACAAATTAGTTGTATGGCCAAAAGTCTTACAACCATCACACCTTTGGGGCTTCCATGGTACCTCAACTTGAATCTCATATGGGTCACCATAACCAAGATTTATTTTGAAAGACTTAGGGATCTCTTTATTTGCTGGCACTTCAATAAAAATTCTCGCAAGCGTAAGTCTGCTTCTCTTGAAAGTTGGCTCATCCAAATAAAGAGGAGTTCCCAAGATGCTAGCTATGTAACCCAAACCCTCTTCACTCCAAAGTTTCAAAGGAACATTGTACAACTTCACCCACAATGGCACACTTGAAAATTCACACTTTGTTAGTTTTAGTCCAGGTTGCCATTTTTTAATAACAATCAATCTAGCCCCAACATAATAGGGGCCATCTTCCAAGATTGTGTCCATAGCCTCTTCACTTTTTACTTTAAAAATAAAAAAACCATTGTCAATGGAGACAACGTCCTCAAGCAAATTTCCCCAAAGTTTCTCCGCCCAAGTTTTCACATAATGGAAAGAGAATCTTTTATCAATGAAGTATCCAACCAAAGCATTTTCCCAATGAGAAAAGCCTTTTTTTGAGATCTCAATAGGGACATTGTAAATGCCATCTACTTGGTTCTCAATCTTGTGGGCACCTATTTTATACTTCAATTTTGACACCTTGTTAATCTCTTCTTTAATTAAAAAGCTCCTAACTTGTAGAGGTTTACTTGATATAGCAAGTGTATCCAGACCTTCACTACCATCTTCCATATGTAGATCAACCGAATCCTCATTTCAATAAGCTTGCACGGGCTTATCACTCTCTCGTTGCTTGGAACCCATTACTTCTTTCCTTTGATCAGCACTAAGTAAGCCAAATTTATTTGACAACATCATTTTGTTTGCCACCAATGGGGACACAATGGTCAATTTTGGCCACTGCTCAACATCAGTTAGCACTCTAGTTGGTGTGTTCCATGCATTAGGTGTTTGATGCTGCTTTGGTGATTGCTCAGGTGAGGCTTGCATTTCCACAGTCTAGCGAAACTATGTTGTACCAAGATCACAATCACACTCAATTGAGCTATCCTCCGAATCTACGTCCCTCAATCCCCTCTTGTTTACATTTGAGGGCCCTTGCCACGGTCCCACAAAATCTCCAAGTGAAATAGATTTGGGGGGGCCTCGAATGCGTGTAGACCGGCGGGGAAGTACATTAGGCATATCATCAGTAGATAGTTGATCCACCTGATTTACAAACTCCTTCAAAGATACCTTAGTCGAAGATTTGCTTTTTGATTTACTCTTGGCTAGTTTGCTCTTGGCTAGTTTGCCTTTCTTCAATGATAGCTTACTACCTCTCTGTCCCTCTCATTGTCCTTCTCTTTCTCTTTCTCTTTCTCCTTAATCATCCTATGACAGCACAGTGACAAGGTTTCACTGGGGCATTTTGTCGAACAGGTAAAGGGCACTTCTGTGTTGATCCTCTCTTTGTGATGCAAACAGGGGTATTTGGCCCAGCCACCGAGCAAAACCCAGCTACAGGCTTCCACTCCACTGTGAATGGTGCCTAGACTGTGTGGTGGTCTCTCTCTGTGATGGTTCTTTGATTTCAGCGAGACTAGTTCTTTGTATAGTAGCTACCTGCTATATCATCAGAATGAAGTCCATTACTAAGGCATATCACTGCTCTAAATCACAAATTCTTCAAAGACCCATTTCAACACAGACAATAACATATAGAAGTGGGTATATGATTGTATACGGACCAGAGGCAGTGTTTGGAGGGTTTGCGAGTGCAAAGCTATAGGGGGTTTGGTTCTGTTCTTGTTCTGTTTTTCTTGCTTTCTTTTTTTAATATATGTAATTAATGTTATAATTTTTTAATATATGTAATTACTGTTAATTTTTTTTTATTAATTTCTTTGTATATACTTTTGAACATTTAACTTTCATTTATGAAATATATGACATTATTCCATTCAATATATGGTTGTGATTCAAAATATAGTATATAGTGTGTATTACATTCTTTAAATGCACGTACAAAAATAATATTAATTATTCTTCAAATATGTCGAATTCTTTTTTTTTTTATCACAGGTTTTATTAGTTATTAATCACACTTAAAAGATGTGATCTAAATATTTTTAATCGCACTTAAAAGGTGTGATCTAAATGTTTTTAATCACATTTAAAATGTGTGATCTAAATGTTTTTAATCACACTTAAGATGTGATCTAAATGTTTTTAATCACACTTAAAAGATGTGACGAAAGCATTTTTTAATGACACTTAAAAAGTGTGATTAAAAATGACCCCTTTTAATCACACACTCAAAGACTACACTTTAATAAAACTTAAAAGGTGTGATTAAAAAACATACATCACACAAAAAAAGTGTGATCTTTATCTATATTTGTAGTAGTGGCTCGAACTTCCTCCGCGTGCCCCCCCATTCGGATTGGGCGCGGATTTGGATTCTAGCTATTACAGTTCGGACTCCTGTCATAGTTCTGAATCTAATCTCACAAAGTGCAATGTAAGACTGATAAATCACCAAAGAGTCCAAATCCGGCAAATCGTTTTGGAAATCAATTTTAATAAAAAAGTGCCAAACATGGACTGCTTTGCCAGATTTCAGAGTTGCCACCTAAATATTTTGTTTTGGGAAAATTTAGGAAACCCTAACTTGTGCCTAAGGCCACGTGTCCGTCATCACCAAAGTTGCCTCGGCTCGGGAACTTGGGTACGAGAGGGGAAGGTCCTGAAATGAGCACCCCCGCTCGCCCGATCAAAGAATCGGCCTTTACTAATCATGATATGTTGTTTTTGAAAACACATGTGTTCTTATTTCGGTTTATTAACCTAACTTACTATGTGATGTGCATAACACACAAGTATAGACTAAATAAATCAATTTGGAGCAAAACATCTCATGTTTGTTTTTCAAAAACGGTTTGAAGTTGCTACCCTCAAGTAGGCTAAAGTGCGGATTTACTACCCTCAAGTGGGCTTAAAACAACATGATTTTGCCACTCCAAGTGGGCTTAAAACTCACATTTTGATGAATTGTTTCAATTCAAGCAATGAAGCCTTCATCTACAGGCATTCATGCAGTTATAGCAATTAAGCAAATAGCCTCATGGCAAGCATGTTGACATGACAACACTTACACTCATGCAATATGCTAAAGTGTAAACACTTACAGTGTACTCCAAGCCAAAAAATAAAACTATTTAGAAATCAATGCATGATCCTAATTATACAAGATACGTAATGCAACACATGCAAAATGCAACTAAAATAGGCTCGATTAGCTAAGATGGCATATGAATGCAACACTCGATAACATGCGCTTAAAACACGTATTCAAGTAAGTATTGAAATTCAATGCAGTTTGAATGATGCGCTGAGCCTGGTGCATGCAATACGAATGAATGATGCACGTATGCAAAGCATAAGTATGCTAATTGAAACATGCCCTAAAACTAACCATCAAAAGTTGGTAAATAAAAGGGAGAAAGAAATGGGGTTGGAAGGCATGCACACACGTACGCACGCTTCTTATAACATTTGCCCTCTCGACGGAGAATCTGAATAAATAAGAGCTAAGCTAAGCTATTTATTACAAATCAACTAATTAACTAACTCAGATAATTACTTATAAACCAAATTGAAACTAGCTATGCTAAGTTAATTAGAATATTACAATAATAAATTAGCTAAATACATTAACTAATTAATTACAAAAATGACAAACTAACTAGCTAAATAAAGCAGTTAAAATGGCTTCGAGGAGAGGGAGATATGAATGCTCGGTTTACTTTGCCCGGAAATGCATCGCCTCGCCATAAGTTGTCTTTGTTTGCACTCACGGTGACCTCGGAGCATCAAACACACTTTCAGGTTGCACTTACCTCAAAACAGGAGCATTTTGGAAAAATTTGCTGCAAGTGGCCGGCCGGCCATTTCCTTTTCCAAAACCTCAATTTTGCTACAACAGAGACCAACAAAGGCACAACAATGCATTTACAAGGAAATGTGTGTGCAACCACTCTCCTTATCATTTCTCAAGCTCAAAGGAGCGTAGTACTCGACTCTCAAGCCACCAATCACGCGTCTGAATGCATGATGGCCAAAGAGCCAAGCTCGCACAATATTAGTGAATGCACAAACAACACATAAGAGCCTTAGTCTCTATCATGCATGATCAAGAGGGTTGGCGACCAAGAAACGCAACATGTTTCATCACTTTGAGTATGAAATGTGCCACATTCCTTGTTTGGATTAACATTCAATCCAACACAATTCGATGCATATAACATGCCTATCTATCAATACTAAAGTGGCATGCACAAGATTCTATCACGCAAACAATGCATGCAAGACATGTTTAGAAGCTAAGGCATCAAAGCTAGTGAAGTACATTACACATGAGGCATGCACTACAATGCTCAAGTGATCAAACCACATATGGATAGACCTAAGATGCTCCAAAACAGTGGTCAATACACACTAAGATTTAGGCATAAAAAGCAAGGAACGCATGCTCATTCGTTTGCTCGCAAGCAATGCACAAAGGTTAATTTTCAAACACATTGAAAGAGTGACATATACGAGAGCATGATAGAGGTACAAGCACTGAAATCATATGCCAAATGATGATATATCATGCAAACGACGTAGGAATAGCATGTTAAGGTCCTTAAGCACTAAAGCTAGTGAAGTACACAACACTAGGGCTATACAATACAATGCTCAATGGACTAAACCAGCCCTAAACAGACCTCATGCATGCCGAGACAGTGGCCAAAATGCTCTGAAGTGATAGCATGAAAGGCAAGCAAAAGATGTTCATGCAATGACACATCAACAAGGCATAAGGGCACAACTCTTAAACACAATTAAAGAGTGATAAACATGAGAGTTTAACAAGGCTATATGCTATGAAATTATGTGTTTAATGATGCCATATCACATAAACATCACAAATAAGGCATGCTAGGAGGCCTAAGGCACAAGGCTAGTAAGGGGCACTACATAAGAGGCATGCAATACATGGCACAAATGATTAACCAGCTATGATAGAGCTCAATTAAGCCAAAACAAAGATCAAAACATGTTGAGATGGCAGCCTAGAAGCCTAGGCAAAGCATGCAATGTATTGGCTCATAAACAAAGCATAAGGCACAACTCACAAAAGCTATGAAAGAGTGGAATATGTGAGAGTGTGACTATGCTATACACACTGAAATCATGTGAAATGAGGCTAAGGCATGTATCACCACAAGTAAAGCATGCAGGAGGCTTTTTAAACTCTAAGCTAGCTGAAGGCCACTTAAACTACAACCATGCACAACAAGTCTCACATGGCCAAGACCACCCAAAACAGAGCTAAGGCATGCTAAAATAATGGTAAAATCATGATGAGATAGAGCTAGTACGAGCTAGGATTAGAGGCATGAAGCATGATGTATGCTAGGCCAACAAAGAGGATTACACTACAAGTGCAAGAACCAAGCAAGAGGTGACTTGACCAACAAAAATTAGAGTTAAGGCATGCCAAAATAACATCAAAAACATGTTGGAGATGAGCCAGTACATGCTAGAATAATGGACCAAAGCATTAAGAATACAAGGCTAATTTGCAAGAATTACACTATAAGTGTAAGAAGCAATCAACCAATGGCCAAACCAACCAAAAATAGAGCTAAGGCAGGTCCAATAAGTCACAAAAACAAGCTTGAGCTAAGTCACAAAAGAGTAAA